GAAACAGGATTTTTGTTTTTTAAGAATACATACACCTGCTTGTTTTCTACCCAGAGGCTTGACAACCAAGAAGCACTTTGGTTCAAGCAGAGTGTTATAGTTAACTGGACAGTCTCTTTTAAGTTTTTTTTTTTTTCTGGTTAAATTTATTTTTCAAAAATCAGACATAGATTGCATATAACATCATATAGGTTGACTTTTGAGAGGAATAACCTGAAGGATGCTTGTATTTCTTTATTCTGCAGGTTAGAATCGAGCAGGTGATTGTTGCCGAGCCAGGAGCAGTTTTACTGTACAAGATTTCTAATCTTCTCAAGTTCTACCACCATACAATCAGGTATAAAATTACGAAGTATGTTAGAGATGTCTTTATAATCATATATAAAAATTAATATAGTAAAAAGTATTTTTGTGGCTTAGTTTTTGTACTATGGAATCGAGGAGAAATGTGCATGATATGAAGCAGATGCCATTTGTCTGTTGTCATGTTTGTATCAAATCTGCTTTGAATATAACATCAGTTTGCCACAGAAACTCTTTCTTTGTTGTTCTGTGTAGATACAAATAGTAAAAAACACCCCACCTCCCATAGAACATTTAAGATGACAAGGTGAAGTCCCCTTTGAGAAAATGTTAGAATTAAATTATCTCTAGAACTTCAATTTTTCTTTTCTTCCTTAAACAACGGTGTTTTGATACCATTTTTTCTAACTATGTACTTGCATTTTTCTGTTGGATGGTGCTTGCCTCATTACATTATCTCACTGGTGAAGGTGCACCAATTGTCTTCCAGCTTTTCTAGGTGACACCAGGAACCCAGAAACTGGAGTAAAGCCAGTACTAGTTGTTTTACACATTGTGGCATTTGCGATAGTTCACCTTGGTTAGAAACAGCAATAGCAGCAAAATCTTCCTCCATGGTGCTGGACTGAACTGCTGAGAATTTGAATCACTAGTATTACCACTTGAGCTGCATTCTGTCCGAGAAGAGTTAGACGTTTGGGAGACTTGGATAAGTGGTTCTTGGGTACTTCCCACTGTATTTAAAATCCTCAATTGTGGTGGCACAGCAGGTCTATGGTAGAAGATGCATAAGTTCTATTCCTAATTTTATTGTCAAAAAAAAAAGAGAAGATTTTTGCTGTCATTTTTCTGTCTCCAAAGTTAACATTTCCCAGTGGTTATAAAGCTTGGTGTAATTGAGAATGTTAAAATGGAAGCTCTTAGACTGTCTTACCTGTTGCTTTCTGTCTTGTTAACGATACTTGTTTTAAGACCACTGAACTGCCTTCTGCCAGTTGAATGATTTCCTCGGTGCAGAGGAAGTGCACCTGACTAATGAATGGAAAACGCAGTATGAGAAATGATCTATTAAATGCAACAAGATTATAATCTGAAAATCAAGCTACAAGTTGAAATCAATCCTATTATGATGCAATGATGTTTTACTGCTGTTCTTGTAGCTTACAAGAGCTTTTACTTTAGACAGAAGGTATCTGTGAGAGGAGCACAGTCATATAGTACCATTTAAGGTTTTTGCGGTATTCATGCTAAATGTGATAGCTTGACACTTGGAAGAGCAAGGCATGAATTCCTGTATTTTTGGAGATGCCTAAGATTGCAGTGAAGAAAGAAGAGAGGTGATGCTTTCCTTAAAGGACGGTATGACAGAATAGTTATCAACCCTTTTTGTTTCTGTAATTTACTTTCTATAACAGAAGCAGATTTACAGAATAACAAAACAAAAATCCAGTAAATTTTTTAGAATTCTACTAAAGAGTTTTTGCAAAGCTTTGGATAGCCTGTACTTAATATCTGCTTAGTGACATACTTCATAATGCTTGTTCTCAGTCTTACGAGTGAATCTACCAGCTAATGTGGAGAACTGTTCCCTGCAATTACTTGTTGTGAATTTTCAACTTTGAAAATAATTGTATTTGAAATGTTGTCTAAAGTATCTGACCCTGTCATGTTTCCCTCTTCTTGAGATTATGTAATTAATCTTTATTTTGTTTTCAGTGGCATTGTAGGAAACAGTGCAGCCACACTGTTGACAACAATTGAAGAAATGCATTTGTTGAGCAAAAAAATATTCTTTAATAGCCTGAGTCTTCATGCAAGCAAATTAATGGACAAGGTTTGTTTCAAAATCATACAGCTTTCACATTTGAAACCACACTTCAATTCCCTTTTTGTCTAGTAAGATTATTAGGTGAATAGCAGTTTTATATGTCAACTTTTCCTAAAACTGAAGTTTTGTAGTTTCTGTATTTTCACTGTGGAGCTATGCTAAAACCTTCCTCTGTGTTTTATTTCTTTTTACAGTTCTGGCTCTCTGAAAATAGGGCTAAAATAATGTTGTAGCAGTGTTTGTTTACAGATAAGTTTACATATTTCTAAATAAGAAGCAAGAAAATTGAGAAATTTCCCTAAGTGTGATAGAGCAAAGTCGGCTGATCGAGCTAGATTATTTGTATTAGTGCATCATCAGATCAATAGTTAATTACTCATGTACGTAATTCCTTTCTTGAAGTTATGAAGTGTATCCCAAGATGGTAAACTAGGTAAAAACAAAACTTAGGCTTTTCGGTCTTTTATAAAAATAGTTTTATCACCTGAACATTGCTGCTGTTAAAAGCAGCATGTCCATTTGTAATATCAACCTAGACAACATCACTTTCCTGACATCTTTTCCTCTCCTGCTGATTGCTTTGAAATGAGTTTCAGTGAACTTCCCATTGTTCAATAACAAAACCAGTTATTTTTAATTTCTCCCTGGTTTATTTGTATCATGTTGCTATTGGTGGATCTGCCCATTAAATTTCACCTTTCTAAAATCTAAGCAAAGTCAAAGAAAATTGTTAGGCTACACATCTGTGCACATCTGATCTTCATCCAGCATCCCTGTCTGAGATGTGATGAGTTGACTAGGTCCTAAAATCAGGAAAAGATGCTTTTCTTTCTTCCTAGTTGTTGCACAACCCCAGACTCCAGACTTCACCAGAGCCCTCACATCACTGTTTTTTCCTGTTAAAAAAAAAAAAATTTGAAAGTCTAAACCAAACAGTGACATTTTGTAAATGTATTTCTAAATTATTTGTACTTAACCTACAAGAAAAATGCATAGATTTACAGAAGCTGTTCTTTGTGCAAAGCCGTGTAGTTTGCTGACCATTCAGTGGAATTTTCTGAGTTTGGTCAATGTTGTTTTGTGGTCTCAAAGTAGTTTTCCCATTTTGCACAGCTTGTGTCTGGTCCCAATTTCCTGTCTTTCTGCAAGGACTGAGGAATGATTTGCTCAAAGGAACAATTGTTCATCCTCTTCTTCCCTTCCATAGATCCCAGTGACTCCTTTCAGTGGTTTCATTTGTTCATCGAGTTACTCCTTAGTTGCTACCACCCACAGTCCATACAGCTGAATCATAGCATTGTTTAGGTTGGAAAAGACCTTTAAGATTATCAAGTCCAACTGTTAACCTAACACTGCCAAGTCCACCGCTAAACCGTGTCCACTTAGTCACATTGTTTGTTGTCATGGGGTATTTCCATTTGAATGTGGTGTCATTGAGGTAGTAGCTTCCTCGCTATTAATGCTTCTGCAAGGTTCAGTTAAACCTCCAGTCTGTAAAACATACCATGGACAGGGACAATATGAATTTACAAAAAAAAAAAAAAAAAGGGCTTACAGCTTGCTATGGGCATATGATAGCTGCATATGAATTCCTCAAAATGTTTTATTTCCTAATATGTAAGCTAAAGTAAATATCTGTGTACCTCTTCCTTTTATGAAGAGAAATCAGTGAACCTTAGCAAAAATACATGACTGCTCTTTATTTTCAAAGAACATGCAAACAAAGAAGTGCTTAAGAAAGGAAATTTTCTTGGCTTGAAACTCTAAGACAGCTCTGTATTTAGCTCTGTTGTATTTATCCTGCTGGGCTTTACATCTGTACTCAAACAGGATCTAGCATAATTTTTGTCACAGCTCGCAATCTTTGTACTTTTGGTTTGGGTGATACGCTGTTTTCAGTTTTGAGACAGGTAGAATCCAGAAGGAGAGGAGTGATAAAGGAAGTGTGATGCGCCCGTTCATAGCCTGTGTTCTTTGTATTGTCGCTATGGGAAGGTTGTGTAATCCCCTTTGCCCTCTTAGTTCCCCTTCCCTCAGCCCCCAGCCTGCATGTAACTGGCTGTAGATGCTGCCGTTTTTTATAAAAGAGTCGAATGTGTTTTTACTGATGTGAAATGAAGGCGGCGAGTGCACAGCCACCCTCAGTGGTGTTTTATTACAAATAATGTGTGGCATACTGAGCCTACCATGTAATGTACAAAATCATAACATTGGTCTTTCTCATGAGCACATTTTCTAAATGAAATCTGAATCATTGACAATTTTACATTGCATAGGTGCCTTGTGAAGATCTTTCCTCAGGACAGCACTGAAATCAAAAACTTAGACTCAGAAGAGGATTAGATATATGTGTAACAAAGGATCCACAGTTACTGATTAATCTTTGTGCTTCAGGAGTAAACAACAACATAATTTTATGGCTGAGAAGGAATCTTGTTGTGATGATGTGTAGTTCTTCTGAGAGTTTTAGGAGGTCCTTTGAAGCACCTTAGATTATGACCCTTTATGAGTCGACTATTGAATTGATAGAATGATGCCTTATCTCTTCACAACTGAAATTAGTTTACTTCACAAACAATACAGAATTACTGGGCTGAATTAGAGAACATTTGTTTCCATGAGTTAAAGACCCTATTTTATCATAAACTTAGTTTTCCTGTTACTTAGTTTATTCTGTGTACAACTAACCAGCTTTTATGCCTTTTCAGAAGTCTTTGTTAATTTAGTAGTGAATGTCACAATGCTTTTACATTTTGAGGAATCTCAAGGTTGCTTTTTACCATCCTTTTTCATAGTGTGTGTTCAGATTGTGTATATGTATTAGTGGGATTATTTTCACATCCCAACCTTTTTACCAGCTTTTTGCTAACTGTGTATGCACTGCAACTGCTTCCAGATTTTTTTTTCCCGGAGAAGATTAAAGCACTGGAAAACAGACCCTTTATGCTTACATACATGATTGCAGAGGCTTTATTGCTGCTCCTGTATGCTCAGAGAGAATACTCACTTGTAAAATTAGCAAATTGAATTTCACTTGGACAGTCTGGAAATCATGGTTCCTTATTTCTGCTTATATTTTGCATCTTTATGCATTAATAAGCCTGTCTCAAAGAATATCAGCTGTCCATTAGTTTGATGAAAATATGATTCTTGAAGCAATTTCAATAACTTTGGAAATAGATTAAAATACAAATAGGGTGTTCGTAAATAAAAGATATTATTTCTACAAATTTAAATGCTGCTTCTCTATAGTTCACTAGAAAGTGGTGAATGTAGCCTGTGTGAGTTACACCATTTTAACGATAGTATTCCCTTAGTATCATCAGTTGTTGCTGATAATCTGAAAATCATAAGCAAGAAATTCTGACTGGAGATCAGTTCTACAATTTTTATTTAAATTAAAGAGAATTTAAGTGTATTCTTAATTGCTGTTTGTAACTATGAAATTCCAGAAGACTTTGTCATAATTACCAGTGAATTTGAAAATTGACAGTAGTCTTTTTAGCCCTGTGCAAATTCTTTTGCACTGTAGCGTGGGGAGAATTTCTAAAAACATAGTGTGTTATTGTGTCTTGCTGTGGTATGCTTTTTGAATATCTACGACCTATCTAGTAGTTGATAGACCAGAAAATCTCTAAGTATAGCTAGTTGGGAACTTTTTTTTAGATAAAGCAGGTTTCATTAGATATGCTCACCCCTCAAGACCTCTTCCTTTGGGTGTAGACAAATGACAGGATGGTAATTTGACTCTGATGTCCTCATCACCACAGACAATGTAAATCCCTAGGCTATTGATTATGCTGAGTTGAATGGGAAACTGAGACTTGAGGCTGTTCTTTCTAGGACAAGAAAATAGCTTTCTCTTTACATCTCTTTTTGAGAAGAGTCCCATATTATGTAAGGAGTGTCACAAGAACAGAGCTGAATGGAAGCTTAAAGGCAGTCTTGGATCAGGATTCTCCCTCTTGGTTGTCAAGCCATCAGTGTAAATGATACAGGGAAATCCCTGGTTACTTCACAGTACTTACTGGATTGCTCAGAAGCACTTTCCTGTGAACATATTTTTTTCATTACATCAGAAAATCTCAAGCTTCCTGGTTGTAATCTGAAAATAAGGCAGTCAGCAGTTCTCACAATTTCAGACTCTTCAGTCTGAGAAACCCTTTTTATGTTGTTCTCATTCAGACTTCTTCAGTAGCTCTTTACAATCTGAAATCTGTGTAAAGGAAAATAATACAGCATACTGCCTGAAACTAAGTCCATTGTTACCCAAAAAAGGCAGTACACAAGGGAGTCTCTTTGGGTGAGACACTGCCTTGAAACCTGCCGTGAAGCTTTGTACAGAGTCATTGCAAAACCACTTTGTTTTCTTGGTTTAAAAACCCATTCACAGCTTTGAGATTATCAGGCTGCCGGAGGGCTCAGCTCTGACATGCAGAAGCTGTGCATCTCCACCCTTCTCCTGTGTCACTGGTTCAGTGTCTCTTTCATTTGCAATGTTGGCTCTTGTCCTTCGGAGACGGTGTTGGGCAGTCCTGCCAGTGCTTTCTAGTTCTGGTAACAATTTCTTTTTGTTCTGGTGGTTGATTCAACCAGAATGGGTTTTTTTTGGCCAGTGGTAAAATCCCTGTGCTGAAAAATCGTGGTTTTGTTTCTTTTTAGCTTTCTTGGACCCAGCCAAGGGTCAACTAGCCATGTTGGTAAAAGCAGATGAGAATTATAGGTTCAATTCTTATGTGTCCTTTAATATATTTCCTTTGACTTTACGCTAATAAATCAAATTTTAAGGATTTGGGATTTTGCTTCTCTTACTGACTAGATCTAATGAATCACAGAATGATTTGGGTT